ATATATATATATATATATATATATATATATATATATATATATATATATATATATATACATATATATATATATATATAAATGAACAAATGAATATCGTCATAGTCCTTCGGATAAAAATTATACAATCGCGAAAAAAAAAAGAAAGCACATCTTGTAGACTAAATTCAAACAGTCCCATTTAATGCCAATAAACCTCCACATCGTACTATAAGATAGATTAATATAAGTCTAAAAATAGGATGTTCAAATTAAGAGCATGTTATTAAATAGTATGCCATATTAAACTCTATTGGATCCGAACATGCAAAACGAAAGAACAAATTTATTTGGCTTGCTCGCGAGACAATTCTCACCCACCGAATAAATCATTATGTGTTACTACCCAGAACCAGAAAATATGCTTCTTACCTGGATGACTGGAAAAGCGATGCATTTCACAGTTCTCATCATCGTTATCTGTCCTATTTGTCACATTCGGGACATTGGCTCTTCGTCGAAGGGACGCTATTTGACCCATACAGAACGCCACACTCCAACACCATTAAACCGGAAAATACCCTTGGCCGGTTTCCTGATCCATAAAAACTGATCGATAAAAAAAATTTTGGATAGAATAGTTGATAGCCGTATCGAACAAAGCTTCAATACAACAAGTTTAATAAATTCCTCCAGTAAACAACCAAAAACCATTATGACACCACTATCATCGTTTCAGTAATGCCGTTAACAGCGAACAGTAATCGAAGTATTGTTCGCCTGGCTTAGATCCTTGCTTGAAAAGCAGGAGTAAAACATGTTTTTGGTCGCCGATTTTGAGACGAGACTAAAGTATTTCGGACGAGGCATTCTGGTTTTTTCACCTGTTCAATACCATTAATAGATCGTTCAATAAGGAATACTGTAGGATTTAACAACATATAGATGACCCGTGCGTAAACGCAGTCGAAAGGATAAAACATTCCAAGACGTAGTTCTTCCAAATAATCTAACAGTTTCTTTATTAAAAAAATAACATCTCACATGCCCGTTAATTTCTCGTGCTTCTATTTCAACCTTCTGCTAATCTTTTTTCTCGAGATCGACGCACTTACCAAGCCATGTCAACTCCCGAACTCCCCCCTCCCACCACCTTCCAAATGACCTTATGGACCCCGGAAACAGCGGGTAACCCGCCAAACTGCCTCCACGCTACTGCAAAGACCTTCGAACTTCCGTGGACGGAAAACTCTGTCCGGTGCAAAGAAAATTCGAGCGCACGACGTTCGAATTCTGTCATCTGTCAACATTCGGCCTCAGCATTTCGATAGTTGACCTTGACGTTTAACATGGAGTATATGGGCTGGGATACCTGTGGATTCTACGCACTTTGACGCACGTACCTGATGTCAAATTCTAAGCTCAACTATTTGATTCGTAGTTCGAAGCGAAGGAAAACAGTGGAAACGTAAGGAAGATAAAGACTACGAGGAATCAGTGGAGAAACCTCGTCCATCGATTTTTGAAGCATCATCACATCTAGCTGGATTTTTGCTACATTTGAAAAACAAGTTCGAAAAATGGACGATAAGCTCTTTACGTTTAAATTGCTCCGAGACGGAATAAATTAAATTTAAGATTAAAATTTAATTACGATGAAATAAGTTCGAATTGCAATATTTCATAGTGAAACAAAGTCAATTTTAGATCAACCAATATCCAGATATCCAACAATTCCACCACAAATCATATAAAATTGATTCAACAAGTACCGAAGAAAGCAAAAAAAAAGAAAAAAAACGGAAGGGACAATTTTTAACATTTAAATAAAAAGGGTAATAACCTATAAGGTATCGTCTCTTTCCCTCTACACTTATGTTTTATGCTAGCAGAAAATCTACGTTTTTCTAGTGTAAAATATATCCTTCAGAAGAGGTGATGAAAATACCTGGACATGAAAAAATACCTTCGTTATGTTTGGTATGGTTCCTTTTTTTTTCAGATGTGGAAAATTTCCGAACACTGAAATGGAGAAATCGGATAGAATTGATTTTGAATTTGAATCTGGCAGGGGAACAAAACAGTTTTGGTTTTCGAGAAAGTAACATCTTTTTTTACTATTCCATTTTATAAATTAGCGATACAATCATTAATAAGTAACCAACGATTATACATTAACGAATGAATTGTGGAATTATTTAGGTTAGACGGAGTGATGATTTGGCGCTTGCCAACGTAGGTTAATTGAATTTAAGATGCCTAATATATGTGGTGATTTTATCTATCATATCTATTTTTATGCACTACAAATGTGGTGCGGAATCGTTGAGGAACCCTGTGTTGGAAAGTATAACGTATGCTTTAAAACGAAAGAGGAAATTTTTAGTTTTTCGAGATTATTTTCAACTAGATTTATTTGAAAATTATTGTTTTGAATTTTTTATATATTAAATATACCACTTATGTTGGTACCTCAAATTATCCTGTCAAAAATTGGATGTAATGATTCCTCGCACTATTTGTCAACCGTTGGGTGTTTAAAAAGAAAGTAGGAGGGTAAATACGGACATGGAAACGTTCTAAAAGGGTTACTCGGTGGAAAGTTTACTGATTGTTTAGGCAGCTGATCGTATTAAGCAAACTGTATGTACTTTGGTAAGGGATGAAGCGTTATGTAAGGAGATGTCGGCGAAAATATCACATAAGAGATTGATGGTATCCAGCTATTGGTGTTGGGCGGCCCAATATGGTGGTGAATCTACGAGAAACTCAGCGCTGTCAACGGTCAACCGCATTTCTTATTGTGAAACTCCCATTCCAGTCTTTTGTAAAGGAAAGCACTCAGAATTTCTAAACAAACGTACGATTTTGGACATCCTACGGTAACCGCATTACAGGTATCGTGTCTGAGAATATTCGTTCAGCTCGACGTGTTCGAG